TAAGACGTCTCAAGAAGGCAATCAGTGAGATTGTGCTGTTTTAGTTGCCAACACATCAATTCTGACTCAGGACAGCCTGCTATGTACGGAATAGACTGCCTGCTTCAGATGACCGTCATGCCATGACTTTTTGGAAACTGGTCCCCAGATCTGTTTTCCAGGGTGTCCTCTGGGTAAGTCTGGTGAATAGTTGTGTGCTGAACTGTTTTCATGACTCGGGAACTCATCTACTAACTTGATTTAAATTCCTCAAGCTTAATGCTTGGGTTGGTTCCCAAACATCCCAATGTATATTACTGAAAAGAATACAGGACCTAAAAGATCAAAAACAACAGGATTCCCAGAGACATCCCTGTGTGTGCCACAATCCCTACACTGAAGCAGTCTTTGCACACAGCCCAGGAACAATTCCTAAACTAACTAAGCCAGATTTTAGAAAACAGCTTTCTAATTTTCGCTCATTGGCAGTCCATGTCAGAAACCAAAAAGTACTATTAGGCCTTCTTATTTTGACTGTGCTGCTGTGGGATGAAGCTCCTCGGCACGGACTGTCTGTCTCTGGCTTTGTTTGAAGAGTTCGGTGGTTGGATGTAACTTTTGTGACGTTGGGTTAACCCATCCTGCTCGAAGGTTTGCTTTCCGGTAGGAACTCATTGCATTTCTATAAGAGGGTGGCTGGGGGATCAGAGGTTACAAGTCAAGGGAATGGAACTCAACCTCTTTTCGATTTAGAAATCTAAGACTATTGATTTATCAAAGCATCCTTAGGTTGCTGGACTAGGGAGGATTTGAATGTGGAGCCAAAGTCTCCCGACTGGTGAAGAGCTTCTACTCTGACAAATAACAACGACATGGCCTGGCTATGTTTATTCAAACTCACTGAGCCTCATTTTCTTCAAGTATAAAAGGAGGATTATAAGGTTATCCTGATGGATAAGTGGTGAGAAAAAAAAAGATAACAGGTGAAAACTAGCTGAAGGCCTTATACCTACAAGCTGCTCAATAAAGGAAAAGAGTGTGGTAGCAAAGGCCAATATAACTTCCCCCCTAAACCTAAACCTGCTGCCATTGTATGGATCCCAACTCATAAACAAATTGGAAATAGAAGTGGCCACCTAACGCGAAAAGCTAATTTATAAAGCAAACTGCCAGTTTCTAGTTTTTGGTAAATTGACTGCACTATTCGGGTCTATGATACATAATATTGACATTTCAGCCTTTTCGAAAAACCGTTTATCACCTGAGTCATACATGGGGAATACACTCTCAAGATTTATCAACACAAACGTTGCTGCTGCTGGGTTGACTCTGACCCATGGCAACTCCTTGAAAAACGCCAGAAGGTTCGCCCCTACCTGTGCCATCTTCACAACTGGTGGGATGCTCCACAAGCCTGTTGAGGCCACTAAGTAGTTTAAGTAACGTCCAACCTGGGGCGCTCCTATCCAACATCATACATGCATTAAACCACATGCTTTTGTGATCCATCTGGCTTTCGTTGGCAAATTTGGACAAGACTTCATGTATCCTTTCCCTCTAGTCTGTGACACTATGGTGGAACGAATTACTTTAGGTGGCCTTTTGTCTTGGTCTGTGAAAGTAACTAACTAGCAACAATAGCAAAACCTTGGGAGCCTTCCCCCCTAAACCCTAAAAAGTTGGTACAGTTGCCTTTGTTACTTTGCTCAGGAAAGAAGCCAATCGACAAGCCAAAACCCCCAAAACCCCTCAGTTTTTAATGTCATTGATGTAGCCACTTTGGGCCCAGAGATTGGGGGGCAGGGTTCAGTTTAGTCCAGCAAGGTGATTGGTCAATTATGCAAATAATAACTCGGAAATACATCCAATAGGATTAAGCCATCTGCCTATCTATGAAATGAATCCTACAGAGACGAGAAAGGGCAAGGAGAGAAAAGAGAAGAAGCAAAGAGACAGCTGAACACCCAGAGGCCATTCAGTAGAGCTAAAAATGCTATCATTTAACCAGAGAGAGTGGAAGAGAGAGAATGCCCAGAGGTGTGCCTGGCTGAGAGAGCAGGTGCAGGGCCAAGAAGAGGGCTGTGGCATGCAAGGCTGAGCGCAGGTAGAGTACATGCTAAGAGAGAGCTGAGGAAGCTGTCCTACACTGATTGAGGGAGGACCGTGTCCATCACTTTGTGAGAATCTTCCACACATTCCCTGTGTGCTTCTGGATGTCTATTCTGAGTTTTAGCCTGCTGCTCCCAACTTGTTCCAGTTTGTGTTACTCCAAATTGATCCTGATCCCAAATTCTAGCCTGTTACATCCTAAGAAATCACATAGCTTAAAGGACAGTTCATAAACCCTGTGAGACATTCAAGGCAGCTAATCACTGAACCCAACACAGAGGAGAAGAGATCTGCTGCGAGGGATAAAGTTGGGTGTCAGATACAGTACAGCGTCTTGGAGAAGTTGGAAATCTGTGATGTGTTTAAACTCCACTCCATAGGAACTGCCTTGGTGCTGATATTATTAATGAAATAATACATTTAGTGCCCCTGCTAGTGCTTGAAATATTGGTGTCATATTGTTCGGCAGTAGCAGCAAGAGAAAGCTGAGGTTTTCTTCTCCTTTAAAGATCGACAGCCTTGGAAACTCACAGGAGCCGTTTGACTTTCCTCTGAGCTTGCCTTGAAACAGAACCCAATCAATGGCAGTGTCTGTTCTTTGTCTTTTTTTTTTACTGTCCAGCTTCATAAAAGCTATGACTCTAGAAGCAACCTATACATGTGCTGCCATTCTGACTCTGTGTAAAAAGAAGCAAAGATTACATTTCACTAGACAGCTAAATGAATTACAAATTCCTCAAGAATTTACAGGACACTCAGATATTACTGTCATGGGAACTTCAAGTAAGTGCAACACAGCAAATGACTTGTCAAACCGGGGCAGAGATGGCCAGGTCCACTGGAACGCAGGAATTGATACTCATTTTGCATCAGCATTATCCTAAATGTGAATCTGTTTCCAGGGTCACACTCCTGACTGGAGTCCCAGATGGACAAATCTATCTCTTCCTCCCTTCAGATTTACACAGATCAATTATGGTACCCTACTGGCAATGGAGCAAATAAGCAGAGAAGTGGGATTATATGAAGAAGAATGTCGTATCACGATTGGGTGTATGGATTGGTATAAGAGCTGTAAGAGCCTTTGATAAAATGATGTATTAAAAAAAATGAAACTAGTTCAACTTACAATCAACAACGTTGACTTGTGACAATCTTAATAGGACTTGTCCTGATGACAATGATCATATTTTGGTATGTTACAAAAGGCTTTTGTGTATCTTCCATTTAGCTGTACACATAAAAATATGTACGCAAAGGTTGAGTTTAATATAGTTTGCTATTTTTTATAGCACTGAATCATAAAATATCACTTTATTTGGGAAACATATCTTCCATTTTTTTCCTTTTTTTTAAATTGGGGGCTCATACAACTCATCACCATCCATCCATACATCAATTGTATAAAGCACATTTGTACATTTGTTACCCTCATTATTCTTTCTTTTAATTAATTATTTTATTGAGGGCTTGTACATTTCTTATCACAGTCCATACATACGTCCATTGAGTCAAGCACCTATGTACACCTGTTGCCCTCATCAATCTCAAAACATTTGCCCTTTACTTTGGCCCTCAATATAGTTTGCTCATTTTCCCCCTCCCTCCCCCCTTCCCCTTCCCCTCCCTCCTGAACCCTTCATAATTCATAAATTATTATAGTTTTGTCTAAGTTACCCTGTCCGACGTCTCCCTTTGCCCTCTTCTCTGCTGTCCATTCCCCAGGGAGGAGGTTATACTTAGATTCTTGTAATTGGTTCCCCCCTTTTACCCCGCATTACCTTCACCCTCCAGGCCTCACCCCTCTCACCGCTGGTCCTGAAGAAGTCATCTATCCTGGGTTCCCTGTGTTTCAAGTTGCCATCTGTACCAATGTACATCCTCTGGTCTAGCCAGATTTGCAAGGCAGAATTGGGATCATGATATTGGGGGAAAGCATTAAAGAACTAGAGAAAAGTTATATGTTTCATCGTTGCTACCCTGCACCCTGATTAGCTCGCCTCCGCCCCAAAATCCCTCAGCAGGGTGTGTTCTGTTGCCAACCGATGGACTCTGAGTCTCCACTCTGCACTCACCCACCTTTACAATGACATGATTTCTTGTTCCTTGATGCCTGACACCTGATCCCTTCAACAGCTCGTGGTCACACATACTGGTGTGCTTCTTCCATGTGGGCTTTGTTGCTTCTGAGCTAGTTGGCCGCTTG